GAGCTATTAGCTAAGTTCTCCCCAAACGAGCTTGATGGGCCGAATGGCCTCCTCTCGTTTGTAAATTTCTTATGTTCTTATGCAACCACAGCAGCATTCTGTGATATTTTTACAAGCTATTTTTTTCCATAACAATCTTGAGTCATGATGTTAAGTAACAACACAATTATCAGCGGTACTGATGTAATCAGGGTTATCTTGGTTATCACGCTACCAGCTTTATTTCTTTATTTTATGACTAAATAACAGGAAAACTAAAGTAATGTGATGTGATACTAGTAAACAATATGGGAATCTGAGAGCAAGGGGGAATATATCCTCTTAGAAAAAACAATAACATCGGTAACAAGTAGATGCTGTCCCCTTTAAGCCCAGCAGACCCTGCCTCTAGTCATTATTCTCCTAAAAACCTCAAGCAGGGCTATGTCCTATAACTTAAGTCATCAATACTTTAAAACAAAACAGTAATAATAATAAAATAGATTTTTAAAACATTATCCCAGATGGCTGCAATTTTACATACATTTATATAAATTCATTTGATTCAATGAATTCTTAAGCAGGAATTTAATAAATATAATCACTTAAGCCATTTTGCATGATAATACACATATTAAAACATTTAGATTAATTGAATGTCACATAAAGCACTGCAAGCGAGCGGGGAAGGAGGCAAGCCAAGCCAGGAAGTCAACAAAACAGGGTTTTATTCCGAAGACAGGACCGGGGGAAGCACATCTACAAACGTCAATGACAAATCTGGGGGAAACTAACCGAGACGTGGACTAAATACACAAGACAAGCTGAGGGTAACGAGCAACAGGTGAGAACAATCAGGCAGAAACAGGAGGTAACGAGGTGGGCGTGGCACACACGAGGATCGGACGGAGCTGGGTGTGACAGTGAAGAAATGAAAACATCATTTTCTAATTACAACATAATCCATCCACAAGAAAATGTAGTGACATGGATGACAAGTTACACGGGCATGTATTTTCCTGTTGCAGAATTCCCAAAATATCGAATCAGCATCTTTACTACATCACTTACTACATGTGAAGGACTTGCAGAAATCCTATATGGCTATGTTCTTTAACATGAATTCTGTTCTTCAGTTTTTTCAGTGAAGGCACCCCCTCCTAACATTACCAGAATGTCGAATGAGTAGAGCAATGTTCTTTGGTTTATGAATTTCACAACAGATTAACTTGATGTTCATGCTACATATGAAAACTTATATACTTATGAAAGTTACAAAAACACCATGATATAGCCTTTTGCAATCTTGGTTGAAGTGTAATTACATATTTATTGGTCTAAAGTGGACTGGGAAGTGATGTGCAGTTCTGTGGGTTAGAACTCTGTGCCTGTTCCTGGAAGGTCACCATTTCAAGTCCTGTGATCAGTAGAGCCCTTTGGGCCCTTGAGCAAGGGCTTTAGTATTGCTCAAGGGACACTCTCTGACTCTGCTCTCTAATCGTCACTGGTACATTGTTTTGGACAAACATATCTGCTAAAATAATAATGAGCAACTTTTTCATTCTTTGCTCAGTTGAGTTAGAGTTGTATTTACTATACACAATAACATTCATTACAATGTCCAAACCATGACAATATCTGGTTCCCTCAACTGTGAATAAATGTGTTCCTCAGGCCAACCCAAATGTTTTGCCTCCTGGGGGGTATTCCATGAAGCAGGCTTAAGGGAAAGTCTGACATTTCGACAAGTCAGTCTTACTTAAGTGAGAGTTCCGTTCCATCAACGTGTCTTAAATGAATCCCCGCTGAAATACCATGGTAATTTAGGCCTGCAAACAAGCCTGGTCCGGACCAGGCTAACTGTCTCGCTTAGTTTAGCGTTGTCTCAAAGAACGTCCGACGTGTGGGAACAGATTCCCAATAGATCGTTCCGTCGGACGAAATTCCGCGATCTTACTATTCATGTCATGTAATCTGTTGAATTATATGTCCTCATCTGACATTATATTTTACATTATCTGATTGAATTTTTTTGTTAATCTGTAAAGTGTACCAAAATGACATGATTTTAGCGGGAGAATGAGTCTTGTATATACGTATATA